TGGCAGCACTACTCAGGGCCAAGCTGGAGCTGCCAGAGCTCCTGATGGAGCCAAGGAGGACAATGCCAGCTCCCTCCAGGGTCAGGTCTCAGAGACCCTCCCATGTCTCCATAGACTTGCATGAGGCAAGGTGACTTAGATGCTAAGACTCTGGTATCAGACTGCCCAGGCTCATATCCCAGCCCTCCCACCCATCAGCTGTGTACCCTGGGTAAGTCAGTGACCTCTCTGATCCTCAGTGACCTTATCCATAAAATGGGAATGATAGGAGTTGGGTAAAACAACACATAAGCGCCCATCGTGGACAGGGCCTGCCAGATAGAATGCTCTGGAAAACTGCTAGCTGTTTGGGAGTATTAGGATCCACGGTACCAATCCTGAAACCTGGAAATCTGGCATCAGCTCCTGCATAGGATGGGAAAAAACTGCTGGAAGCCCCAGCAGAGGGATTGGAGAACGAGGGCTGAGGACACAGCTTTCCCCTCAGGCATGGTATAAAGCATTTCAAAACAATGAACCCCTGCCTAAATGCCACCTCTGCAGTCTGTGAGACTAGGGGTTTGATGTCCTCTGCAGGATCCTCATTTAAAAAGCAAATTGTCCACCCCTGGCCGTTCAGAAGGCTCCTCCAGTGGTAATGCTGGAATTTGCTGCCCAATTTCTTTACTTTGTGGAGAAGGGCAGGCTGGGAACCCCACCCCCCGAGTGAGACCATTTCATTTCTAGGGATTCTACTATACAGGGTCACCAGGCCCTCCACATGCCCCTCATCTTTTGACTCAGAAACAAATGAGTCTGTGGAGGCTGATCTGACCGGTTTGGAGATGGTAGGTGAGGGGATGGTGGCTGCCAAATGAGAAGGGGCCCAGCCTGCCTGGCAGCCCCACCCAGACCTCAAATCCAGCTTGGCAGCACCAGCCCCAAGAGGCCAGCCTCACCCTTGGATAAATGGCCTGGCCCCCCAGAGGGAGGAGTATCCAGGGTCCTGGGCTCTGGATCTCTGCATCTAACTCCCACTCTAACCTTCCTCCTGGCACTCTAGTTGGAGAGAGCTGCTCTGCTCAGAGGTATGGCCTAGATGGAAGGCATGGGACAAAAAAAGTTGGGGAAAGCACATTCTTTCTCCATAGGCCCATGCCATGGGCTCTGTCTGGGGACAGAGTAACTGTGGGATTCTTTGTGAAGTCTCAGGCCTTAGCACAGGGAATACAGAGAATCCCTCTCCTTTGGAGGAGAGCCAGGGAAAAAGACTCCTAGTGCTCCTTTCAAAGCACGGAAGGGTTGAGCATGATCATTTTAATAGGGATTTATGAGCCCCTACTGCACCCAGCCCTGGGCCCAAGTATTACAAGGGAGCTGGGAGTCAAAGGTAAGTGTTGTGGCTTTAGGGGTCAAAGAAGTTTCCAGAGACTCTAGACAGCTTCCTGAAAGAATAGACAGCAGGGCTGAATCTTAACAGTGGGAAGGGACTCTCCAGTGCAAGACAAAGAGTGTCAAAGTGTGTACAATCAAGTCCTCAAATCCCTGTGCAACTGCAGGCAACATCTCCTGGTCTCCAGGGCTTCATTTCCCACCTGTTGGAAAAATGTGTCCTAGGGGGCAACCATACACACAGCACATACAGCAGCCTGGCTTACCACTGCATCCCCTGGGACAGGAATTGTCCTGATTAAGGTAGCCCCAGAAACTTTCCTAATCCTAGGGACCAAGAGGATGCTTGCTGCAGAAACTCCCTCAAAAGATCTCACAGAGATCTCCTGGACCTGTGGACTTGCGGGGCCCCAGCCTACCCACATGTATACATACACCACTCTCCTTAACAAAGAAAGGAACAGGAGGCATTGGGAGCCCAGAGGGGCTTCCAGCAGGCTCCAGTGATGAGAAGGGAAGGGCGCCCAGCCCTGTAATGGAGAAAGAAGGGCAAGAAAAAGGAGTTCACCTCTATTCCCACGTGTAGCCCCCTCCCATATCCCTCAGGGCTTTCTAGTGCAGGTACTAAGTGCCATGGTCACTTCTGCTGGCCAGTAGGCTAACAACCACAAGTAGATGGAACAAGAAGTGTATGTGGGGGGGCAGAGGATTTAGCTCAGTGGTTTCGCCGCCTGCTGCGCAAGTGCAAGGACCTGAGTTCAATCCCTGGTACAAAAATAAATAAATAAATAAATAAAAGGGGAAGAGGGAACTCTGGCCCTTGCTGCAGTTTCCTCTCTCTTGAGCAAGGCATGTGGCTTCTGTCCCCTCACTTCTAGTCCCAACTTTCAGGTATGTGATAAGGTTTGAGGGACTGGGCCTTGGAAATGCCCAGTTAGAGGTAAAGCCAAAGGGTGCTAATTAACCAATTAGGCCTGGGAGGGGGTACAAGCAAGAGATCAGCAGGAAAAGCAGGAGCAGAACAACTTCTGTCCCTATTCCCTCCTCTGAAGCAGCTAGTCCTCAAGTTTCTGCCAACAGGACAGCAAAAAGTGCTTGGGATGACATGGAGGCATAAGGGCGGCACTGGTGGCAGAGGTTGGCCTGGAGAGGAATGCTCTATATAAACAAGGACAAGATCGAGCAAGTAGTGGTCAGAGACTGGGGGAAAAGGGAAGAGGCCCACCTCCCCAGGAAGGAGGGGCCTGCCCTAAAGAACAGCAACAGCTACAGGGACAGTGACCACAGTCCTCCCATTTTATGAGTGACTGCTGCAGCCCAGGCTTCCTGTTGAGCACTATCCGCCATTTCTATTAACAGGGCCAGAGGATAGATACAGAGAAAGATGGGCAGGGATAGCCCGAACAAGTTCAGGCTCCAAGATAAGGACAAGACAGCCTGGTACTCTGAAGTATAGCCCTAAGGAGGCAGAAGGACACAGACCCCATGACCTTTACCTAGGCAAAGCTAGGGTGCCTAGGAAGGGGGCTAACCAGCAGCATGGAGAGGACTGGAACCAGTTCTTGAGTTGGCTGAGCTCCCTGAGCCCAGGCCTGGCCATAGAACAGAGGGCAGAAGCTGTAAGCAGGGAGATGCCATCTCCCTCTGCAAGGCCACAGACACCAACAGAGTACATACACATGCACTGTGCCAGAGGTTGTGCTCGCTCCGGCTTGGGAGGTGGTGAGGGCCTGCCCAACTGGGTAGGGAATTCTAGGCTTGGTCACTGAGCGGGTGGGAGAGGGTGGAGAACAGGAAAGAGACAGTGTGGAAGTCACATCTAATCTCTGCCCCCTTTGAGAGCCAATTTAGGACTAGGTCTTGAAGGTTCCAAGACAGTAGCCCCAGCCTGGTCACCCATACTTTAATGCACCACAGAGAGGAACCCACTGCAGAGCTGTCCAGTTCCCAGCCCAGGACAAGGAGTCCACTGAAGTTCTAGATCCAAGAGGAAGAACTGTGGAAATTAACACAATCAGAAGTTCCCTCCAATCCCTTGACACACACAGCGTCTACATGGAAGGGGCTAAGTTCACACTGCACAAAAGCAGCACTGCCTAAACCCACAAACTGGCCTCTCCCCTGACTTCTTCCTTGCTCCTAGCATTAGGACCCAATAGGGGCTGGTAAGAGCTCAGTCCTAGCTTACAGGACCAAAGCTTCAGTACTGAGAAGAGCTTCTCTGGCCTCAGTCAGCCCCTCACCCCCACCCCCAGCATAGGTAGAAAGGCTTAATGATCCCAAGGGAAAGGATAAAGACTCATTTCTCACTTTGTTGCACCCTCCTGCAACTCATAGAGGGCCATGCCTGGGACTCCAAAGCCCCCTTCCCCCATTACACTGTTGGATTAGTAGATAAAGAAGCATACCCAGGGCCCAGCCCAATCGCCCCAGGCCTGATCCTTCCCAGACCCACACTCATGACCCCCTCCAGGAACACCCTGGGGAGATGACCCACTAGTCATCTTGAGAAAGACCCAAGGACCTGGGCCCAGGTCTTCCTACTCAGATACTTATAGATCTTGTCCCTACAAGTCCTGTAGCCTTTCCAGGCCTATACCAGGTCCTATCCCAAGCACTCTACAGGCATTATCTCATTTCAAGCTCACAACCCCTGTTCTTTCCCCATGAACAAAGGCAGAAACCTGGCTTCAAGAGTCCAAGGTCACAGAGCTAGCAAACACAAGGTAGAGATTAGAGGTACATCTATAGGACTCTGCACCCAGGTTTGTAACTGAAACTTATAAAATGAGAAGACTTTTCAATGTGTTTCTAACTTCCAGGAGCCATTCTCCCTGCCATGCTCTACCCATCCAGGTGTTACTGGCAGGAGCTGCACATAAGCAAGACTCCCTGTGATAGAAGACTCAAAGGATTCTGGCTACAGTGCTGGGTCCTGGGCCAGAATTGTGTGTCTTAAGCCAGAATCCGGTAGCTAGGTTAGCCACTCCAAGACACTCACCCCCATTCAACCTAGATCAGTGTGCCAGGCCTCCAGGGAGACTGGAGCATGACATGGCTAAATAGTTGGCCCAACCTCTACCCAGACACCAGGGTGGGTCAAGCTTGCAACAGAACCTGCCCCTTTCAACATGGGGCCAGTGACTCATCAGGAGCCCAGCAGCAGCCTCAGGAATGATGGGCATCAGCCTTCCCCACTGACCAACCCTAGGAGGCTCACACCACACTAGCCCAGGCTGGCAAATTCCTCAGGGAGGAAGACTTGAGCCCAAGCCCTTGGTGGGGGCTCAGTCTTAGGCAAAGAGAAACTCAGACCCATCCCAGTCAAGGGAGCCAAATTGAAGGAGCCCCCTTGGCCTGAACACACAGGCCCACCCAGAGCCAGAGCTCCAAGTCATTCCTTCCCTTCTTCCGGGTACAACAGCTCTACCCATACTGACTCCGCCCCTTGGTCCCTAGGACCCTGAGTTTAAACTAAGCCTGTTCACCCAGGTGGAAAGCTAGCCATGAGTCTGACCCTACAGCATAGTATGAGAGTGAAACAAGATGCTGGTCATAGGAAGCTGAGCAGGGGCCCCAGACATACGTGCTCCGACAGGTCACACCAGGACTCAGTGAGGGTCACTAACCTTCAGGGCACACTTCTGCCCGGTGCGCCGGTGGAAGCACTCCAGTACCTTGCCGTTCACACCTAGACCCAGTACCTGCTTGGATAACTGGTAGTCATCGGTCACTGCGTACTTCTTGGGCTCCCGCCGCCCCCCGAGGGCTGGAGAACCGCACCAGCCGGGTCCGCCGAGGGCCCCAGGTGGGAGCCCAAGGCCACCCTGCTCCTCTGCCGTCTCGCAATCCATGGCCCGCGCGGGGTGCTCAGAAGCGCACCCAGTCTGGCGCGTTCAGGACACCTAGGGAAAATGAAAGAGTGACTCCCGTCCCGGACTTTCCCAGCACGACCGGCCTCGGAGCCCCTAAGTTTGACTGGGCTGCCGGCCCAGGATAATCTGGGGATCCGAAGCGAAAGGCCCTAGAGTAGGGACACGCGAAGGGTGGTGGTGGCCCCACAGCCCCGCACGTGTCGAGGAAGGGCCAGGCGCCCAGTGGCCCCGAGGTCCTGAGACTGTGCAGCGCCGAGGCTTGGAGTGTACACCTGGCAAGGACGCACCTGGCGGCGAGGGCTAGAGGCAGCAGGCGCGGGAGCCGGCGGCCAGGGGCTCCCAGGGCCGACAGTCGCAAGGCCAGGCCCTTACCCACGTGACACCCCCACAGCGCGTCACCCGGACCTGGGGCCCGCTAGGTCAGCCTTAAAGGGCCAGGCAGGCCAGGCCTGGGAGAGGCGGCGCAGGACAACATAGGGGGCGTGGCTTCCTGAGGAGGCGGTAACCTTCGTGGCTTCCGGGGACTTAAGGGCGAACTCCTCCACAGGGTATGCCCCCTACACTTTATCTGCGACTCAGAAAGTGACAGAGTAGGAAGTCTTGTTTCTCTTGAAGCTTCCACTTCAGTTGAGTGTTCTCTGCGCGCTACCAGACGGCACTCCAGAGTGTCTCGCGGAGCTGCTGTCTTCAGCTGGTGGTGGCTCGATGTCCCTTCCCCCTCGACATTGGACATTGAACCGGGGGCCTTTCCACTGAGCTACATCGTACCCAGTCCTTTTTTAATTTTTATTTTGAGACTATCTCCCTAAGTCGCTAAGTTGCTTAAACTGGGCTCAAACTTGTGATCCTCCTGCCTAAGCCTACCAGAATGTTGTCAACTTCTTAATTTTTGCCAGCATGCCTAGGGCAGTAGCATCTTGTTGCTTGATTTGTGACTCTCTAGTCCCTGGTGGCTCTGTGCACTTCCTGCTCATATCCAAGGCTCATTTTTTCCCTTTGGTTATATAGCACTCTTGGACCAGAAATTCTGATTTTCCATTTGGCTGGATTCATCAACTTTTCACCTTATGGTTTGGGCTTTTGGTGTTGTATTTAAAAAGTCTCCACCTGGCCAGGCACAGTGGTATGGGCGTCCTCCTTTAGGAGACTGAGGCAGGAGGATCACAAGTTCAAATCCCATCTGGGAAACTTACACCCTGTCTCGAAATTTAAAAATTAAAATAAAAAGGGCTGGAGATGTAGCTCAGTCCAAAGGCCTTGGGTTCAACTCTCATACTGCAAAAAACATCTCTGCCTTCCAACCTAGTTACATATTCTCCATTAGCTTTGTAGTTTGTCTCTCCACATTTAGGCATCTTCTTCATTTTTTTTTCTTTTGAGACAAAGTCTCACTTTGTAATTCAGGATGGCCTTGAACTCATGGTAATCCTCCTGCCTCAACTTCCTGAGTGCTGGGATTACAGGTGTGTACCACCACGTGCGGCTGTCTACTTTATTCTGACCCTATCTTAGCCTGTTGTACATATTTTGAGCCAGTTTTTCCAAGTCTCTTATTTTACAACTGAAATTGAAGCTCCCAGAGAGGAAGCAAGTTATCTAGAGCCACAGCCTATGGCTGTCTCCTGGTGGCAAATCTGCACTACTTCCTTAAATGATTCAACCTGTAAGACTGAAAGACCCTTGCAAGGTGGTCCTCTGTGGGTACTGAGTACCTGCTAAGGAGAGCAAGATCTCTGAGCAGCGCTCTGCTGGCATCTTCAGGCCATACTTAGAGCTGTAGGCACTGTGACCTGGATCCATCCAAATGAGTCTCGAAGCCATTCTCTTGGCTTCAGAATCAGTGACGGTTGAGGTGTTCCCCCACAATCTCCTGGGTGCCTGGGCTGCATGTCCAGGATCCTCCAAGCAGCAGCTTCTGAGATCCGGAAGCTGGTGCCCTCCTCTTCCCTGATGACCATCTATGAGGGTTAGGTAAATGAGTGAAGGGGGCTACACTATTGATGGGTACCCTCTGCGTGCAGGTGCTGAGTTGGGACAGGGCTTGGGGCTCTGGCCCTGTCTCCACCAGGTGACCTTCAAGCTAGCAGCATTCACTTAAGCAGGGATCCCCAAACAATAGGCTCAACTAACCATACTGAGCATTTCCTGCTGACCAGACACTAGGTAGGTGCTCCACCCAAACAACACAACCTCACCAAGACCAGAGGGGGAAGAGCAAACACACAGGAAAGACCATTCTAGAGAGGTGAAGTAATCTGCTTAAAGTCAGCAGGTATCATACAGAGCCCATATTCCAACCAAAGCACAACCTCAGGCCTAGGCTCCTACCCTCAAATCAAAGTCTCTTTTGTGAGTATTGCCAGTGAATACTGGAGATTGAAGCCAGGGCCTTTGTACTGAGCTATGTCCTCAGCACTTTTTTTCACTATTTTGAGATAGGATCTTGCTAACTTTCCCAAGCTAGCTTTGAACTTCTGACCCTCCTGTGCACCTGGGATTACAGGCACGCATAACCACACTTGGCCTGTGGCCTCTTCTTGTAGTTCTCCCTGCCTCCACATGCACAGCCAAATGTGCAAGCATACTCTTACACATGTGCACATGCATTTGACAGGTGCACAAACACAGACACACATAGGCATGAGTATGTATAGACAAACATGCACACAACATACACATACATACAGATATGCATGTGCATGCAGAGACCCACACACGTTTATACCCATCTGATCCAGGACCGATGTCCCCTAGTCCCACATGAGAATCAAATCCAAGATCTCAGAACCTTGGAGAAAGCCCTGTGATCCAAAATATTCTCCTGTGTGGAGGCTGGGAGAAGCACTACCTTATGCAGGCAACTGGTTCAGGCCTGGCGAACTGAAGGCCAAACAGGATGAATGGGGTCCCACAAGTGAGCAGAGGGCTAGGCAGCTGAGGGCAGATGCTGGCTCCTTGCCCCACCAGAAGCCTCTCAGTGAAGCTATCTTCTTTCTTTAAAATGGAATTAGATTACAATTGCTCTTTTTAAAAGTTTATAATTGTGTACTTTAAGTTTCTGTGTTTTTTACCAAAAAATTTAATCACATAAGTAAAACTTCTTTGTTATAATGAATTCAAACCATATATGTGACAATTTAGCTTGTCAATTTGGTTGGCTTGGGAGCCACCTAGAGGATTAGTAAAGTACTCTTTTGAGTGTGTCTAGGTCATTGCTGGGACAAAATATCTGACACCCAAAGTTAAGAGAGGAAAGGTTTGTTTTAGCTCACAGTTTGTAGAGGTTTCAGTCCATAGCCAGCTGGCTCCAAGACAGAGCAGCATGGCAGAGGAGAAACAGTCCATGGGAGGGTAAGAAAAAAAAAAAAGCAACCAGCCTGCTTTTTCCATTTTTGCCTTTATATTCCACCTAGGCTACAAGAATGTTGGTTAGTGCCACCCACACCCAGGGTAAGCTTCTCATTACCCATACCCAGAACTATACTAAATCAGTCATTGGATAGATCCAATTATCATGTACCTTTAATCCAATATCACACACCCATGATCCAGCCACCTCCCAAAAGCCCCACCTATGAGTTCATGAGGCTTTTGAGGGACATCTAGATACAAAACATAACAGTAGGTCATGGAGGTGTGGACTTGGCATCTATAACTGCTCTCTGGCCCCTTCCTTTCTGGCACTGTTCCCTGCTTTGCTTCCTAGCCACCATGAACTAAGCAGCTTTGCTCCATCAACCTGTTCTACTGTGATGTTTCTCTTTTGAAGCCAGCCAACTGTGCATTGAATTGTCTGAAACCATGAGCCAAATAAACCTTTTTCCTTTAAGGTATGGATGTCAAATATTTTATCCAGCTATAGGAAAGCTCACTATTGTAATAGAGAAGTGTAAAAAGTAAGCAGTGGTGATGCCTATCCCCTCCCAGTCCCATAACCAATGCCCATGTTCACACAGGTACATGAATTCCCCACATGAGGTCATAATAGTCAGATGTTTTACAGCTGCTCATTTAACCTAGGACAGACAGAATACGTGCTTTCTTCCCACTGCTCATGTTTCTGCAGTCACCTGCCACATCCCTTTTTACACTGATGGGAATGTTCAGTATTCAGAATGGCTGTGTGTCCAAGGGGACAGAGATAGGCCCTTGAAATAGCTTACAGTGACCAAGCCCAAGTGCCTGAGTAAGGGGAGGGGGCAGTCAACTCACACGTGGACTGTCCTTGAAGGGGAGAGGAAGGCTGCTCATGGAGAGCAGACAAACACCGAGTCAGCCACGTGTTGAGGAAGGCACTGTTGTGTATTCTTGTGACTTGTCCTGTGATTGTTCTGGGTGGCGAAGGTCAGAGGAATCCTGCAGTATGGTGAACTCGTGGGTGAGTGGTGGAAACTGGAGATTTGGCCAGTGGGCTCTTAAGGAGTACCACTGGGTGGCAGTATGGGCCCAGTAGCAGGGGTTGGATGCTCACAGGGAGCAGATGGGGCAGGAGAGTAATAAGGAGATAGCCTGAGGGACCCACAAGCCCTAAGGTGAACTGACACCTAGGGCCCAACAAGATACCACTTTTATAGCATGCAGGTGAAGTACAAGACAGTGACGTCAAATTCACAAAAGATAACTGGAGGGCCAAAAGCCTTGGGACCCTTCATTTACACACAGAGCTGCCTAATCACTGACCTCTGTAGGGGATGCTTTCAAAGGGACACCCCTGGTGCTCTGCCCTTGACTGGACTGGAGACAAGGAAGTTTGGCTGCAGACTTTACAGTTGGATCCTGAAAGATGCCTAGAGGTTGGCAGGTCACAGATGCCTAGAGGTCACCAGGTCACAAACACCTAGAGATAAAGTGGGGGGGGGGGAGTTGTAGGGCTTTATCTCCAAACCACTATTTGCTAGCTATGAAATCCAGGGCATAGTGTAATCACTCTATGCCTCAGTTTCCTCACCTGTAAGCTGGAATAATCCTGGTAGTTGTGACTCTACAAGAGACTGTAAATTGCTGAATGTCTGGCACGCAGTGAATGTTCAGGAGAATAGTCACAGTGAGCAGGAAAGTGTATGGTCTTAGGGGTAGAGATAATAGGATTTGGCCCATATAGACCCAGGTTCAAAATTAAAGCTCTGGGGGTTGGGGATGTGGCTCTGTGGAGAGAGTGTTGGCCTAGCATGCACAAGACCCTGGACTTAAAAAAAAATAATGTAGCTGTTACATAGCAGCTATGAAGCCACTTCGTCTTGATAGTAATGGGGCAGTAGCTCCTTCCTACTGGAGAGATAGAAGCCCACTCATGACCCCCATACTAAGCTCTCCAAGGTACCCCATCCCTCCAAATGGGTAATGAGGTATCCCTCCCACCCTACTCCTATCCCAAGAAACTGGCTTCTCTGGCCTACTCAGGAGAAGCTGGCAAGGTTACACTGAAATCTGGCTTACCTTCGGGAAGGTCACAGAGAAGCAGTCTACTGGAGTCATCTTAACCAATTTTTTTCCTGTTATACAGGACTTTACTTTCAGACCTCCTTTGTCCTCTGCTCCATCTTGGTTAGAGCACCTTGGGCCTTGTCTGCCCTGAGGAAAGCGCAGTCTCTGTTATTCAGGCTTTCTAAACAGTGCTACTCCATGGATATTGTAGTCCAAACTGTTTCTGAGGATTCTGGGGGCACACACTGGGGAGTGAGGGGGTGAGGAGGAGGAGATCCTGCTGACTCTCCAAATCTCATCTCTTTCAGTCCTTCTGCCCCAAGAGTTAGGAGGAGGTTCACACAGACCCTATGGTCTTTAAGATGCTCCCTGATGAGTCAGTGAATTAGAAAAGGTAGAGGGGATTAGGGAAGACTTCTGATCAAGCTCGGACCTACCATTTCCTGACAAGGTGTTTTGTTCCCTGGGGCTCTACACGTTTATAGAATAGGGGCAATATCATTTGTTGAGAATCAAACATAGCAAGTAAACTGTAGAAGGGAGCTGTGGCACTGCAGTCCCTCCCCCCATCCTACCCCAAAATTATCTCCTGGTGTTTGGGACACCAAGATTTTCTCCCAACATTTTATGGGGGCTCACCAAACCAGAGAATAAACTATCTGGGGGCTGACTATCCCTATCTACCTCCTCAAGTCATTTCCTTGATTAGCAGGGTCCGCAGCCTAATTCAAAAGGTCAGGTGTGCCTTCTCTCCTCTTTCAAAGAAAATGTTCTTGCTTGGATCCTTTGGGTCGTGGTGGCTGCAGGCTCGACCCAGTGGACCTGTTCGTTTCCAGGGGTGGCTTCCGCCTCTGTCCCTCTCCCTCTGTCCTTCTCCAGTCCCCACCCCAAGCCCCACAAGGCCACAGTTTTGGTGTACAGGCGCGAACCAATAGTGCTTGTACACCCCACAGATAGCCTAGGAGAGGCGTCTAGCAAGGAGGGACTGTCCCCCGGACCTCGCCCTCGCGCTGGCACCGGTTCGATGGAGAGATGAGCAGGCCCATTCCCAACAAAGCGGAATGTCAAAGGTAATGTGGGGTAGAGGTGCGGGAGCCTGGAGCCCCTCCCTGGTCTCCCTCAACCAGGTCTTCACGGGCTGGTCTCCAAGTTCGGCCCGCTCGGCACGTCAGTCCAGAGTCCATTCGCTGCCATTGGGTCCCCTGGCCACTAGTCTCCCCCTCCTTCCCTGTGATTGGTCGGCACGCAGAGCCCCGCCTGGTTTTCCTGGAAAGTTCTTGGAAATCTGTCAAAGGTGTTTCCTTTCACAGCCCTAGGCCGAGTCGCTCGGCAGACGCCCACCCCCCACGCCCCATCCCCCACCCCGCACACCGCGCCCTCCCGGCCTCACCGCACAGCCTGCAGTTCTAGGAAGACGCGGCTTCCGGGAAGGGCTGGGAGGCAGCGGATTGAAGATTACCTTAGCGGCGGCTCGCCCCGCCCCCGCCGGGCCGCCCCCCTCACCCTCCCTGGCCCGCTGAGCCGTCTCCTCTCAGTCCTCGCCAGCTGCCGTGCGCCCTGGGACCCTGACCTGCGCGCTCGGTGTCCACTGCTCCCTCTGCCGCGATCCCGCCAAGCCCCTACAGAGCCGTCGCTGAGCCGGGACATGGTCCTCTGCGTCCAGGGGTAAGCGTGGCTTTCCGGGAGCACTGAGGAGCACAGGCTGCGTGGCAGCTGCCAGGCTTCAGGAGGACTGGGCGGGCTGGAGGTGAGCGAGGCGCAAGGACCTCGAGGGTGCGGCGCTCTGTGGGCCTGGGACAGCCCCCCAACCCCGCCACACACACACACACACACACACACACACACACACACTGTGGGTAGAAAAACTAGGGGCTCTGAGGCGAGGGGAGGAACACAGAGTGGGATCCCCTTGGTTCTCACTGAAGGAGATGGATGACGCCTATGTCATGGTGTCCCCCAGGACCCAGAGCCTCCCCCTAGCCTGCCGGCTGCCCTACCTACTGGTGACCTTGGGCCAGCCTCTGCCCCTTCCTGTCCAAATGTCCATTCCCTGCCCCAGCTAGTAGTTAGGCTCCACTTGGGAAGCCAGCCTGAAATCCTTGCCTCTCCCCGGGCTAGTACCTGGTAACCAACAGCTCTTGGGAGCACCCCCACAATTACCTCACCCCTCTTCTCACCCCAATGTGATAACGACCTTGGCTCCTACCTCCCCCTCCAAGTTCCTCAGAGACCCTGGAGGACAATATAGGAGGGGGTGCTGATAACTCAGAGCCTGGGCCTCAGCCAAGTGTTCTTGCACACCTGAACTCCTTGAGCCTCAATATCCCTCTCAGTCAAAAGTCTGATACTCTACTTCCAAAAACTTGAGATTATACTATAATTGGTACCACCCAGTCCATTAAGTCCAGATATACACAGACATCCAGATGGGTGACCAGAACACCTGGACCCATCCCTTCTCTGAAATGTTCCAGTTTTAAAAGTCATAGATAAGCCAAGATTAATGCTGTGAGCCATATATCCTTGGGATATACTTGTAATCTTACTGGTTGATTATAGTTTGGCCCACGTTGTATCCACATTGTAACTTTACTATATAAGTTACCCTTGACCATAGGCCTTTGTGGCAACCCATGATCTTTCCTGTCCTTTCCTATTCTTTAAAAAAAAAAAAAAAAAGGCCGGGGATTTAGCTCAGTGGTTTCGCCACCTGCTGCGCAAGCGCAAGGACCCAAGTTCGATCCCCGGTACCAAAAAAAAAAAACTTTGATGCTTTCTACTGATCTGATGCTCCAAGAAGAAAAGAGGAGGTACAAGTGGGTATCCCTTACCCAGGGAGAGCTGGGTGGCCCAGTGACAGCTATTATAAGAACTAGCACAGGCACAGTGCCAAGTGCGGGAGAGTGGAAGATGGGAAGACTGAAGTGCTCCTTGCTCTACACAGTCCTTGGTCCAGCGAAGAGAATATGCAAGTGCTGGGAAGATAACTTCTCCCCAGTTGTCTCCAGGATGTTCCTTCCTCTTCTGAATTTTGGAGCTCCTTAACTTTCCCCCCCTACATTACCTTCCTCCTCAGGTGTGACTCCCCCTTTCTGGGTCCCACAGCCTCTTTCATATGTCCCTAGTTGAGGGCTCCTTGTGCCCTCTGGACCAATATTGATGTCGAGAAGCAAGATCTTTAACACCCCCCTAAACACATACACACACAGCCCCAGAACAACTGGTGCCATCCTAGGGTTGAGAGCAGGAATTTCCAGTTGTAGCTCTGCTGAAGACCCTACCCCTAACTGAGTTCATACTCCTGGCATGTGTCCTCAGGCAGCACTCACTAGCTGGGCTCCAAGGGAGGAAAACATGCACACCTGTAACACATCATCTCCCACCCCTGCTATAATGATGACACAGCGATGGACACACCCCTACCCAGATACACAGTCACTTGAGCCTTTGGAGATCAGTGAAACTTTTCCACACCCAGATACATATCAGCCCCAGAGGTCCCCACAACCACACAGGGGATCTATGTAGAGGCTCTGGTCTTGGCCATCCCCGGAGGTTCTGGCCTAACCAGCTAGCTACCCACAGTGCTCCAAGAAGGTGCATGAGCCAAGCTCTGGAAACCAAAAGAAAGGTCACCTCAGAATTCCTCCTCCAGCTCCCCAGGCAGTATTCCAGAGCGCCTACACTATAGCCAGGGTAGATGTGAAAAAGTACTTTGCAACTGTAGTGTGGCAGAGTGGTGTAGTCCCTTGTCCTTATGAGGGATCCTAGAGCTGTGACCTTCTAAGGGTCACCTAGACTGTCAGATCTGGCTCCTTTGCCTGCCGCCAGCTCCTGCCCACCTCTTCTTGCCTCACAAGCAATACCTGGCACTGTATGCTCAGGCTGTTGTCTCTGCATACAGTGCCTTCCCCTAACTCCCGCCTTTGGCCTGGCACTCAGCTCGGGCACAGGCAGACCCTGACTTCCACATGACCCTGTGATATTATGGCTTTGGGTTATAATTACTTAGTACCATTTTCCCCAGCCAATGTGGCCAGAACCCATGGTTTTATTCTCTCAGGGTCCTAAGGCCCACCAAGGAATGGACCCCAAACTAAGGCCTGGGGCATGTTCTATTAAGAGCGAGGAAGGACCAGCAGTCCCTTCCTCAGGAAGCTGGCCAGTTCCTGCCCCACCGCCCTGGGGAAGAAGCCCAGTATCACCAAGCTGAGCGGGCTTCCCCACGAGGAAGCTCCTGCACAGATTTTGGCCAGCTAAGTTGCCCTAACTCCAGTCATCTAAGGATAAGATGTTGCCAAACCTCTCAGTGTAGACCCTTCATTGGTGGAAGGAGAACTACACCCTGGAAGGGGGCCAAGCTATACACAAGACCATAGAGCCCAGTAGAGATGGCTTGCTAAGGCAGGGTCTGGAATGTTGGGTACTCTGCCCTTTGATGGGAGCTCATATTTGTGGGAAGTGAGACTTGCCAGTGTCTTTAGAGGCTACTGTCCACTCCTGACCCTCAGCTGAGAGGAACAGAGGCCAGGATAGGAGTGTGACCTGTATGAATAGGGGATTGTTTCAGCCTTGAAGCCAGTGTAGACCTATGTCCTACTGACTAATATACCTATCTGGGTGTGGGAAGGCAGCTTGTGACCTCAGGCTTCCTACAGTGATCTTGGAGCCTCCCTGGTGGACCCCACACAGGTCCCTCCTATGGCTCAATCAGGACCAGTGTCATCCAACTAGCCTACCTCAGCCAGCAAAGCACAAATATAGGGCTAGTTTGCAGTGGTTTCTGTCATTGTGGTGGGGATACTAGAAATGCTTACAGGAAGGATCTGTTTGGGTTAGATCCAAGATAGAGAGGAAGAGATTACTTAGCCCTTAATAATTGGAAACAATCAAGGAGGGTTCTCTAGAAGTGGGATAAACATTGGATGCTCTATTCATTGCCAATCCTCCCCCTTTTAGACCTGGTCCTTTGCTGGCTCTAGAGCAGGTTGGGCAGCGGCCCTTGTGGGCTCAGAACCTGGAGCTGTCAGTCAGCCATGCAGCCTTTGCCTATTGGGGCCTTCCTGGAAGAGGTGGCAGAGGAGACCCCTATCAAACCAGAGAGTGAGCCAAAGGTGCTGGACCCTGAGGAGGATCTGCTATGCATAGCCAAGACTTTCTCCTATCTTCGAGAATCTGGTAAGTCTGAAAGAGGAGGCAGCTCTTGTCCTGAGAAATCTGCTGAAGGGAGCTTAGCTTTGTCTGTTGAGTCTGATTTGGGAAACATGGCCCTCCCTTTGTGGTGGGAGAGGTATAGCCTTCTCCACTGAAGTGTGAAGAGAAAGGCATAGTACTGAAGTGCCCTGGGTTGGTGCCCCCAGATGATTTCTAATGTGACCAGTCCCCCTGGCCCCTTCTCCACTTGCCTAGGCTGGTACTGGGGCTCCCTTACAGCCAGTGAGGCCCGGCAACACCTGCAGAAGATGCCAGAAGGCACATTCCTAGTACGAGACAGCACCCACCCCAGCTACCTGTTTACACTGTCAGTCAAAACCACCCGGGGCCCCACCAATGTACGCATTGAGTACGCTGACTCCAGCTTCCGCCTGGACTCCAACTGCTTGTCCCGGCCTCGTATCCTGGCCTTCCCAGATGTGGTCAGCCTTGTGCAGCACTATGTGGCCTCCTGTGCTGCTGACACCCGAAGTGACAGCCCTGATCCTGCTCCTGCCCCAGCTCTGCCTATGCCTAAGGAAGATGCTCCTGGTGACCCAGCGCTGCCTGCCCCTGCATCCACTGCTGTACATCTAAAACTGGTGCAGCCCTTTGTGCACAGGAGCGGTGCCCGCAGCCTACAGCATCTGTGCCGCCTTGTCATCAACCGTCTGGTGACTGATGTGGACTGCCTACCGCTGCCCCAGCGCATGGCCCACTACCTCCGACAGTACCCTTTCCAGCTCTGACGGGGCCTGCTATCTTGCCCAACCTCATGCACCCACGTCCTGGAGTGGACAAAGGCCCCTGCTGGACTTGGGCCCCTGCCGTCCTTCCTTCAGTCATCCTGGTGCCTCCATGTATCTGGCAGCTGGACCAGGAAGAGCTAACAAGAAGGCAGGGGAGTGAGGGGAGGTATCATACAACTTGTGGCTCCATTATTGTGAGCCATGTGTCAGAGGAGAGGGAGACAGGCAGGACCTTGTCTCACCCTGCAAGATAGGCCTAGGCCTTCACTCATCTGCCTGCCCCAGCCTTTTGAACTGTGCAGACTTTCCCAGCCCTGCTTTCTCAATCCACAGGGTAGGGCAGGCCCCCTATCTCCAGCCAGCCTCAGCTGCTAGGAAGAAGGCGGCCAGAGGAACTGAGGTTGACAATGAGAGTCCCCTTGTGAGGAGCAGACCAGGCTGGGGGACACCACAGTTATATAGTATTTATTTATTTATTCTTCTTGGGGTTGGTCTCAAATGATCCACCCCCACCTCTCTGCCCTGAGCCCTGGGTTGTCCAGAGATAGCTCTGTGCCAGCTTCTCTGGTTCTTCCCTGTGGAGGGCCCATCCTGAGATGTGTTGTTGGATCCAAGGCAGCCCTGGATGTCTTAGTGCTGCCTCACCTGCGTGTGAGCATGTGTACTCTTCTGTCCCCAGCCCTGTTTTGGGTGGCCAGATAAATGGACAAGAAAATGGAGCCAGAATCTAAGTCCCCAGCAGAGCCTGCAGCTCACCCCTTTTAGGGCTGGGCCGGAGCTGCACAGCACTGCCCTCATTGTTTTGCAGGCCCCGAAGAGGGGTGTCCTATGTCAGGAGGGGGCACCAGCTGAAGGGTGACTGCCGTACCCAGGAAGGTACCTACATGTGTGAGCAGAGAAGAAACATATAGCTAATACGACTTTATAAAATAATTATTGTAAGACAATAACCATTTTGGTAGTCTTTTTTCTTCCACTGATTTTTCTGTAATGATAATAAAATTATACTTTTCATTTATACAATCTTAAATGGGCCTTTTTCTTTTTTGGTACCAGGGATTGAACTCAGGACCTTGCACTTATGAGGCAGGCGCCAGAACCACTGAGCTATATCCCTGGCCCTAATGGGTCTCCTTTGAGTTCTGTACATAGTTTGTCCCCTTTGCTCCTATTGTCATGATCCTCCATTTCACATACAGGCTAGCCAAGGCCCAGAGACCTTCTGTGTGAGCATTTCCTGCAGAGGGACATATTGAGGGGTGGAAAAGACAAGGAGCAGCTGTTCTCTCTCATTCCCCCTTGTTCTGCTTGGGAAAATGAGAAAGAAAGGAAATAAAGCCCATTGGGCTGCTTACCAGGTCACTACAGGCCACTGCAGAGTGGGCGGGGAAGGGAAGTGGCAGAGGAGCACAGAGGCTGAATTGTGTAAACAAGAAGGGCCCGTTCAGAATGGAGTGGAGAATACTGGTGGGAGGATGCTGTGGCCCATCCTGGGGGCAGTGACTCTTGAGAAGAGGGAGCCAGCAGTCAGAACTCAGGGCCAGTCTTCCAGACAGAAGGTACAGTGAATGTGAAGGCACCAAAGCATGACTGGAGGCCTGTATTCCTGACACAAGGAGGCCAGGGGCAGAGGAGTGTTAAGGTTCTGGCCCGGAACCTTCAACTCTCACTCAGGATCCTTCAACTCTCACTCAGGATCTTGCACACCAGAAATAGGTGGAAGAGCAATTAAAATGAAAACATCCTCAGGTGTTTGATGACTTTGGAACACTTAGACTGCTGGGAATCTATTATGTCCTGAAATTTTCTGTAACTTGGCACTGAGGTCCTCATAGGAAAGCTCCTTTGAACCTTGCTTATAGCCTTCAACCCTTATTTTCTAAACAATTCTATGTTTCTGTCTTAGCTCTCGGACCATTAGAAGTTATAGATTAGAAAAGGCAAACATGCTGGTGGATAGGAAGCAGGAAGGGATAAGGAGTGAAGAGTTGAGGGGAAGGAGGCAGGAAAAAGATAATCAGCATGAACTATGAAGGCACAGGACCTCAGGAATGTAGAAATGGTTATGGCAAAGAACAGGAATACCACTGGGTAAGAGTGAGCAAAAGAGGGGTAAGGGAGGCAGGGCTCTCTTTACTGGCACCCTGGTTCAGGTATTCAGCCTCCCTCCCCCTTGGGCCTTTGGCTGGCCTCGGGGCCCAACAATGCACTTGCTCCAGGACACTAAGGCCCCTCCCAGGAGTGCCCACAGTTTCTCAGCCCCTTTGTGGCTCCCACGGTGCATAAGATGACCCCTCTGTCAGCTCCACCCCGAAATCTGAGTCACCTAGTAGGCAGGGAGTGGACATGGAGGGGCCAGAGGCAAGCTGTTCCCCACCTGGTGCTGTGGCCAGACAGAAAGCTGTGTGGCACAAGGAAGCACAGCAAGCCTCAGTGTCCATAGGAGACTGCTCAAGGGACCTTCCAGGTGTGAGGACAAGGTGAGAACTTTGCACTTTATGTACCACTCACCACATAGACAGGAGTCCAAATGGTACCCATACCCTGCAGAGGAGGAAACTGAGGCTCAGAGGGGCAAGAGGCTGGCTGAGGCTGCTCATAGCAGAGCTCACTTTGAAGCCCTCTGCCCCTCAACAGACATGAGATGGGAGGACCCTATCCCCTGTCTACCCTCCCTGCTAGGCTCTGGGGCCACTGGCCTGGCCTTCACCTCTACCTCAGCTCAAGCCAGGGTCCCACTCTTTCCTAGGGACCAGCTGCCAGCCACTTCTGACTCCCACATTTTTCTGGTTCAGTCTTTTTATTTCCCTACCAAGGGAGTGAATGATGCCTGCCTGGAACAGAGAAACAGCAGAAGACATGTCATTGGACCCCAAATCCAAGTCTGACACCCAGCCTAACAGATACTGAAAACCTGGCCAGCACAACCAACTAGAAAAAGGGGCACACCCAGTTGGCACCAACTGGGGAAAAAGGATCAAGCCATCTGGTGGGTGCCCAGCACACTGCACAGCATACAAACAATAACTTGACAATGACCCATCATGGACTAAGCCCTTCATCAGCACACGAGCTCCTCGGGCATCAACTGGGCCAGCCTCCATCTCAGCCCTGGGGGACACAGCAGGGAACAAGACAGACACAAATGCACACACAGGACAAGTTTTGACAGTGTAAAGAAAGCAAAGTAGGGGGCAGGGTAGAGAATGGCTTTGGGTGTGGGGAGACCCCTGCATCTGACAGGGTCAGTGAAAATGCTGAGCAGGGTAGCACTGAACCCAGAGACCTGAGCAAAGAGCAGGAACTGGCCATGCAGATAACTTGGGGAAAGGATATCACAAGGGGAAGGAACCACCAGAGCGATGGCTCTGAGGCAGAAGCAAACTTGAAGTGCACAGCACCATGAGAAGGGCAGGAGTGAACACTTGCATTAACCTAGCACAGTGGAGCACCTCTTCAGAGTCTAGTGGGGGTCCTACTTCTGCTCTTCTCTAAGTGGTGTGCCTGATAGCTGGGGGGATAGCCCCATGGGGCCTGGAGGCCGGAGATAAAAAAAAAAAGTTGAGAGGTAGGGGTTTTGGTGGGGTAGGTACAGTGGGAAGTAGGGGGAGACAAGGATGGCCACTCATGACCCATTGAGTTCTCACTGCAGCCCTGAATACCACCAAGGGTTGGCCTCATTACAGCCTAAGAGAGAAGGCTCAAAGAGGAGTGGTGGGTGGGTGGCTCAGGGTGACACAACTCATGAAAGGTGCAGTCAAACCTTGAGTCCAGACCTTGTTTGTGTAACCACTACTATGCTCTGTCCACTGGGCTTGGCTTGCTGAAACTTCAGGGCCCACAAGATTCAGAGGGCATGCAAAAGGGTGGGGACACTCAGGAGGGCTTTCTGAAGTCGGGAAGGGCTAGGCTCTGGGCCCTGGAGGATTCCACCAGACCACAGGACAGTGGGTTTGGGGACTGATCCAGTGTGGTGTCCCTCCCTAAACTTACAGGTCCCCCTCTGGAAGGACTTTGAAATGGAGATGCTGCTCACCCATCCATGTGTTCTCATCAGTAAGGTTTAACTGGCCAGCCTCTTGCTAGAGCACTTTACCCAGCTTCACCAAGTGATCCAATAGTACTTGGAGGACTCAGATCCCACACATTGGCCAGGCTTTCAATTTCTGAGCTGAAGGTGTGGTGGCCTGAACCTGGAGATCAGGATAAATGGGAGGCCAAAGTAGGAGAATTGCTTGAACCTATGAGTTCAAGACCACTTTGAAGCTGGGCATGGTGGTACACACCTGTAATCCCAGCACTCTGGGCGGCTAAGGCAGGAGGATCAAAAAGATTGAGCCCAGTCTGGACAACTTAATGAATTAACAAGACTATGTCTCAAAGGGAGTGGGGGAGGATAATCTGCTGACCGAGCAGATCTTGCCAGGCCAAGGTCTGCACACAGGTCTGAATGGGGCTGGGCCCATGGCTGGGCTGGCTCCACTCTCACACGGGTACCTTCCCACTTGTGTGGCTGCCCACAGTGAACCAGAGGCATGAGGGGCCTAGGGACTGTAATAAGGCCTGATTGAGAAGGCAGGAACATTTAGAATCCATGCACAGGGCATCCTGCCCTCAGGCCTCATAAAAGCCTTCTTCATCTAGAGCCTGAGTAGGCCTGGGCAACCCTTTTACACCAACCTGTTAGACCAGTTTTAATCTAAAGCAAGTTTGCCAGAAATTCAACAGCTTTCCCATCCCTCCCTGGTTCAGTGGGGCTGCACAGCCAGCCAACCAGGGGATCATCCCAGTGATCACTCTTGGGCACCAGGCTTCTGTGTCTGAGACTTGAGACAGAAGAGGTCCCTGGAGGTTTGATTCTGGCCAAACTTTAGACCATAGGGTTGTTGGAGAGTGGCTTGCCAGGCCAAGAAAATGGAAGCTGATACTCATTGTAAGCCCAAGGTAGAGATACAAGACGGGGGAAGCCAAAGTTATCTCCTCAGTGAGAAGACAGCTGTTTTCATGACACAGGCCTGGTGGAAACAGGCAGAGGCTAGCATGCAGGAGGCAGCATCTGAGGGCTGAGGACCTTGGGACTACCCCCACTCCTCCAGGCAATCCTCCAGGACTCTTCCACTCACACCACCCCAGTGCCTGTGAATATGCTGGCACCACAGATGGTGTGATGGCATGGCTAAAAGGGCATGGCATCCAGCAAATGCTCTCCAGGGGCAAAGCCCCACTCCAAGGACTCTATCCTCATTCAGCACCAATGAGCCAGACTCTTCCTGTTGCCAGAGCTGGACTTCTCCTTCCCCAGAGGTATGGATTTCGCTAAGACTCTGAGGCAAAGCTGTGTTCTCAGTGCCTCTCAGCCCTCAGCCTACACATCCCGCCTTGAAGTGCTTCAGTGTTCCCTGCCCCCACTAGCCCCACCCCTGAGCACATCACAGTACTGTGTGTGTATGCGTGTGTGTGTGTGTGTGTGTGTGTGTGTGTGTTGAACTTTCTACTTGGCTAACATTCCTTTGTTTTTCCTCATCTCCTTCCAGTGAAAGACTATGGTAGGAGGAACTGCTCAGTGACTAGGTCCTCAGGAAATTTTCTCCCCAAAGGTCAGATGCGGCTTTGTCCAGGAGACACTGAGAAATGAAGGCTTATTCAGAAAGAGATGGACCCCCTGAGCAGTGGACAGGGGTGAGGGACCTCCATGGCTGAGCCCACTGTTAACCTGGCCTGAGGGTTTTTATGGGGCATGTGCCTGGGCATCCTTGCCAGAACTGCTGTCAGCTTGGCTTCTCAGGACAGGCTAAGCTTAGGCAGGCAAAGCTGGGTGACTCTGGGCAGATTGCTTTATCTTTCTGAGCCACACACTGCTCAGCAGGCCAAGTTCCTGGCTTTGAAGTCTGTGGGATCAGTTCTCTCTCCTAGTCCAGAGATGACCTAGCTTTGGGGGCAGTTTCATCCCCTCCCAGTGCCTTGACAATTTCTCTTCTGGGTCTTAGCAGGTAACCCGAGGGTGCCTTGTGGAGGGCAGGGAAGGCTTGG